TCAACATCATCAACATCATCATCAACATCATCATCATCATCAACATCATCAGCATCAACATCATCATCGACATCATCATCAACATCAACATCATCAACATCATCATCAACATCATCATCAACAACATCATCAACATCATCAACATGATCATCAACATCAACATCATTATCAACATCATCAACATCATCATCAACCTCAACAACATCATCAACAACATCATCATCATCATCAGAAGTATCATCATCAACAACATCATCATCAACATCATCAACATCATCAACATCAACATCATTATCAACATCAACAACATCATCATCAGAAGTATCATCATCAGTAGTATCATCATCACCAGTAGTATCATCATCAGTAGTAGTATCATCATCATCATCAGTAGTATCATCATCATCAGTAGTAGTATCATCATCGTCAGTAGTAGTATCATCATCACCATCATCACCCTCACCACCATCACCATCACCACCATCACCACCATCACCACCATCATCACCATCACCACCACCATCACCACCATCACCACCATCACTATCACCACCATCACCACCATCATCACCACCATCACCACCATCACCATCAGCACCATCACCATCATCATCACCAGCATCACCACCATCACCACCATCATCATCATCATCACCACCATCGTCAGTAGTAGTATCATCATCACCATCATCACCCTCACCACCATCACCATCACCACCATCACCACCATCACCACCATCACCACCATCATCACCATCACCACCACCATCACCACCATCACCACCATCACTATCACCACCATCACCACCATCATCACCACCATCACCACCATCACCATCAGCACCATCACCATCATCATCACCAGCATCACCACCATCACCACCATCATCATCATCATCATCACCACCATCACCACCATCACCACCATCACCATCATCACCACCATCAGCACTATCACCACCATCACCATCGTCACCATCATCACAATCATCATCACCATCATCACCACCACCACCACCATCATCACCACCACCACCATCACCACCATCACCACCACCACCACCACCATCACCACCATCACCACCACCACCATCACCACCACCATCACCACCACCACCATCACCACCATCACCACCACCATCATCACCATCATCACCATCATCACCATCATCACCATCATCACCACCACCATCACCATCACCACCATCACCACCATCACCACCACCACCACCATCACCACCATCACCATCATCACCATCATCACCATCACCACCACCACCATCACCACCACCATCACCACCACCACCATCACCACCATCACCACCACCATCATCACCATCATCACCATCATCACCATCATCACCATCATCACCACCACCATCACCACCACCACCATCACCACCACCATCACCATCACCACCACCACCACCATCATCACCACCACCACCTCCACCACCATCACCATCACCACCACCACCACCATCACCACCACCACCATCACCACCATCACCACCACCACCATCACCTCCACCACCATCACCACCATCACCACCACCACCATCACCACCACCACCACCACCTCCACCATCACCACCACCATCACCACCACCATCACCACCATCACCACCATCACCTCCCATCTCCCATCAGGAACCTCCCTCTGGCTATCATGATCTCCATGCCGCTGGTGACTGCCCTCTACCTGCTGACCAACACCGCTTATTTCGCAGCGCTGGACAGCGTTTCGATCCTACAAAGCAACGCGCTGGCCGTGGTGAGTCCTGTATGGTCCTGTAGGGTCCTGTAGGGTCCTGTAGGGTCATGGAGATACATGGAGACCCATAGACACCCTACAGGGAGACCCTACGTGTCTCTATACCTGCTGACCAACAACGCTTATTTCTCAGCGCTAGACAGCGTTTAGATCCTACAGAGACAGGCGCTGGCCGTGGTGAGTCCTGAAGATTCCTGTGGGGTCCTGTAGGGTCCTGTAGGGTCATGGAGATACATAGAGACCCATAGACACCCTACAAGGAGACCCTACGTGCCTCTATACCTGCTGACCAACAACGCTTATTTCGCAGCGCTGGACAGCGTTTCGATCCTACAAAGCAACGCGCTGGCCGTGGTGAGTCCTGTATGGTCCTGTAGGGTCCTGTAGGGTCCTGTAGGGTCATGGAGATACATGGAGACCCATAGACACCCTACAAGGAGACCCTACGTGCCTCTATACCTGCTGACCAACAACGCTTATTTCTCAGTGCTGGACAGCGTTTAGATCCTACAGAGACAGGCGCTGGCCGTGGTGAGTCCTGAAGATTCCTGTGGGGTCCTGTAGGGTCCTGTAGGGTCATGGAGATACATAGAGACCCATAGACACCCTACAAGGAGACCCTACGTGTCTCTATACCTGCTGACCAACAACGCTCTTTAACGCAGCGCTGGACAGCGTTCAGATCCTACAAAGACAGGCGCTGGCCGTGGTGAGTCCTGTAGGGTCCTGTGGGGTCCTGTAGGGTCCTGTAGGGTCCTGTAGGGTTATGTAGGGTCCTGCAGGGTCCTGGTAGGGTCCTGTGGGGTCCTGTAGGGTCCTGTGGGATCCTGTGGGGTCCTGTAGGGTCCTGTAGGGTCCTGTAGGGTCCTGTAGGGTCATGGAGACCCATAGAAACCCTACAAGGAGACCCTACGTGCCTCTATACCTGCTGACCAACAACGCTCTTTAACGCAGCGCTGGACAGCGTTTAGATCCTACAGAGACAGGCGCTGGCCGTGGTGAGTCCTGTATGGTCCTATAGGGTCCTGTAGGGTCCTGTAGGGTCCTGTAGGGTCATGGAGACCCATAGAAACCCTACAAGGAGACCCTACGTGCCTCTATACCTGCTGACCAACAACGCTTATTTCTCAGCACTAGACAGCGTTTAGATCCTACAGAGAAGGCGCTGGCCGTGGTGAGTCCTGAAGGTTCCTGTGGGGTCCTATAGGGTCCTGTCGTGTCCTGTGGGGTCCTATAGGGTCCTGTAGGGTCATGGAGATACATAGAGACGCATAGACACCCTACAAGGAGACCCTACGTGCCTCTATACTTGCTGACCAACACTGCTTATTTCTCAGCGCTGGACAGCGTTTAGATCCTACAGAGACAGGCGCTGGCCGTGGTGAGTCCTGAAGATTCCTGTGGGGTCCTATAGGGTCCTGTAGGGTCCTGTAGGGTCATGGAGATACATGGAGACCCATAGACACCCTACAAGGAGACCCTACGTGTCTCTATACCTGCTGACCAACACCGCTTACTACTCTGTGAGTCTCTATGTGTCTCTGTGTTGGCCTCTGTGGGTCTCTGTGTGTCTATGTGGGTCTCTGTGGGTCTCTGTGAGTCTCTCTGTGTCTCTGTGGGTCTCTGTGAGTCTCTCTGTGTCTCTGTAGGTCTCTGTGTGTCTCTGTGTGTCTCTGTGTTGGTCTCTGTGGGTCTCTATGAATCTCTGTGGGTCTCTATGAATCTCTGTGGGTCTCTGTGGGTCTCTATGAATATCTGTGAGTCTCTGTGGGTCTCTATAGATCTGTGTGGGTCTCTGTGGGTCTCTATGCATCTCTGTGGGTCTCTGTGGGTCTCTGTGGGTCTCTGTGAGTCTCTGCGGGTCTTTGTGGGTCTATGCTGGTCTCGGTGGGTCTCTATGAATCTCTGTGGGTCTCTGTGGGTCTCTGTGGGTCTCTGTTGGTCTGTGTGGGTCTCTATGAATCTCTGTGGGTCTCTATGAATCTCTGTAGGTGTCTGTGGGTCTCTGTGAATCTCTGTGGGTCTCTGTGGGTCTCTGTGTGTCTCTGTGAGTCTCTATGGGTCTCTGTGAGTCTCTGTGGGTCTCTGTGGGTCTCTGTGTGTCTCTGTGGGGCTCTGTGGGTCTCTATGAATCTCTGTGAGTCTCTGTGGGTGTCTATAGATCTGTGTGGGTCTCTGTGGGTCTTTATGAATCTCTGAGGGTCTCTGTGTGTCTCTGTGGGTCTCTGTGAGTCTCTGTGGGTCTCTGTGGGCCTCTGTGAGTCTCTGTGTGCCTCTGTGAGTCTTTGTGAGTCTCTGTGTGTTTCTGTGTGTCTATGTGGGTCTCTGTTGGTCTCTGAGGGTCTCTATGAATCTCTATGGGTCTCTGTGGGTCTCTGTGGGTCTTTATGAATCTTTGTGAGTCTTTGAGTGTCTCTGTGGGTCTCTATGAATCTCTGTGGGTCTCTGTGGGTCTCTATTGATCTGTGTGGTTATCTGTGGGTCTCTGTGGGTCTCTAAGAATCTCTTTGGGTCTCTGTGGGTCTATGTGGGTCTCTGTGAGTCTCTGTGGGTCTCTGTGGGTCTCTACGAATCTCTGTGTGTCTCTGTGGGTCTCTGTGGGTCTCTGTGGGGCTCTGTGCGTCTCTGTGGGTCTCTGTGAGTCTCTGTGAGTCTCTGTGGGTCTCTGTGGGTCTCTATGAATCTCTGTGAGTCTCTGTGGGTCTCTATAGATCTGTGTGCGTCTCTGTGGGTCTCTGTGAATCTCTGTGGGGCTCTGTGGGTCTCTGTAGGTCTCTATGAATCTCTGTGAGTCTCTGAGTGTCTTTGTCTCTGTGGGTTTCTATGAATGATGTCTGTGGGTCTCTGTGGGTCTCTATGAATCTATGTGGGTCTCTGTGGGTCTCTGTGGGTCTCTGTGTGTCTCTGTGTGTCTCTGTGGGTCTCTGTGGGTCTCTATGAATGTCTGTGAGTCTCTGTGGGTCTCTATGAATCTCTGTAGGTGTCTGTGAATCTCTGTGGGTCTCTGTGGGTCTCTGTGTGTCTCTGTGCGTCTCTGTGTGTCTCTGTGGGTCTCTGTGGGTCTCTGTGAGTCTCTGTGCGTGTCTATGAATCTCTAAAGGGGTCTCTGTGGCCCCAATTAGACGTTTGGAGACCAGGTCCTGGGCGTGATGAGTTGGACGATCCCAGTCGCAGTGGCACTCAGCTGTTTCGGAGGACTCAACAGTTCCATCATCGGTGCCTCGAGGTGAGTCACCCACACAGAGTCACCCACACAGAGTCACCCACACAGAGTCAACCACACAGAGTCACCCACTCAGAGTCACCCACTCACCCACTCACTCACTCACCCACTCACTCACTCACTCACCCACTCACTCACCCACTCACTCACTCACCCACCCACTCACTCACTCACTCACCCACTCACTCACTCACTCAGTCACCCACTCACTCACCCACACAGAGTCACCCACACAGAGTCACCCACACAGAGTCACCCACTCACTCACCCACTCACTCAGCCACTCACTCACTCACTCACCCACTCACCCACTCACTCACTCACCCACTCACTCACTCACTCAGCCACTCACCCACTCACTCACTCACTCAGCCACTCACTCACTCACCCACTCACTCACTCACCCACTCACCCACTCACTCACTCACTCACCCACACAGAGTCACCCACTCAGAGTCACCCACTCACTCACCCACTCACTCACTCACTCACCCACTTACCCACTCACTCACTCACTCACCCACACAGAGTCACCCACTCAGAGTCACCCACTCACTCACTCACCCACTCACTCACCCACTCACCCACTCACTCACTCACTCAATCACTCACTCACTCACCCACTCACCCACTCACTCACTCACTCAATCACTCACTCACTCACCCACTCACCCACTCACCCAGCCACTCACCCACTCACTCAGCCACTCACTCACTCACTCACCCACTCACCCACTCACTCACTCACCCACTCACTCACTCACTCAGCCACTCACCCACTCACTCACTCACTCACCCACTCACTCACTCACCCACTCACCCACTCACTCACTCACTCAATCACTCACTCACTCACCCACTCACCCACTCACTCACTCACTCAATCACTCACTCACTCACCCACTCACTCACTCACTCACCCACACAGAGTCACCCACACAGAGTCACCCACACAGAGTCACCCACTCACTCACCCACTCACTCACCCACTCACCCACCCACTCACCCACTCACTCACTCACTCACCCACTCACTCACTCACCCACTCACCCACTCACTCAGCCACTCACCCACTCACTCAGCCACTCACTCACTCACTCACCCACTCACCCACTCACTCACTCACCCACTCACTCACTCACTCAGCCACTCACCCACTCACTCACCCACTCACCCACTCACTCACTCACTCACCCACTCACCCACTCACTCACTCACCCACTCACTCACTCACTCAGCCACTCACCCACCCACTCACTCACTCACTCACCCACTCACCCACTCACTCACCCACTCACTCACTCACTCAGCCACTCACCCACTCACTCACTCACTCACCCACTCACTCACCCACTCACCCACTCACTCAGTCGCTCACTCAGTCGCTCACCCACTCACCCACCCACCCACTCACCCACCCACTCACTCACCCACCCACTCACCAACTCACTCACCCACTCACCCATTCAATCACTCACCCACTCACTCACTCAGCCACTCACCCACCCACCCACTCACTCACCCACCCACTCACTCACCCACTCACTCACCCACTCACTCACTCACCCACTCACCCACTCACTCACTCACCCACTCACTCACTCACTCACCCACTCACCCACCCACTCACTCACTCACTCACCCACTCACTCACTCACTCACCCACTCACCCACTCACTCACACAGTCACTCACTCAGCCACTCACCCACTCCCTCACTCACTCACCCACTCACTCACCCACTCACCCACTCACTCAGTCGCTCACTCAGTCGCTCACCCACTCACCCACTCACCAACTCACTCACCCACTCACCCACTCACTCACTCACCCACACTCACTCACCCACTCACCCCCTCACTCACTCACTCACCCACCCACTCACCCACCCACTCACTCACCCACTCACCTACTCACCACTCACCCACTCACTCACCCACCCACCCACCCTCTCACCCACTCACCCACTCACTCACTTACCCACTCACCCACCCACCCACTCACCCACTCACTCACTCACTCACCCACTCACTCACTCACTCAATCACTCACTCACTCACCCACTCACTCACTCACTCAACCACACAGAGTCACCCACACAGAGTCACCCACACAGAGTCACCCACTCACTCACTCACCCACTCACCCACTCACTCAGCCACTCACCCACTCACTCAGCCACTCACTCACTCACTCACCCACTCACCCACTCACTCACTCACCCACTCACTCACTCACTCAGCCACTCACCCACTCACTCACCCACTCACCCACTCACCCACTCACTCACTCAGCCACTCACCCACCCACTCACCCACTCACTCACCCACTCACTCACTCACCCACTCACCCACTCACTCACTCACCCACTCACTCACTCACTCAGCCACTCACACACCCACTCACTCACTCACTCACCCACTCACTCACTCACTCACCCACTCACCCACTCACTCACACACTCACTCACTCACCCACTCACACACTCCCTCACTCACTCACACACTCACTCACCCACTCACCCACTCACTCAGTCGCTCACTCAGTCGCTCACCCACTCACCCACTCACCAACTCACTCACCCACTCACCCATTCAATCACTCACCCACACTCACTCACCCACTCACCCCCTCACTCACTCACTCACCCACCCACTCACCCACCCACTCACACACCCACTCACCTACTCACCACTCACCCACTCACTCACCCACCCACCCACCCTCTCACCCACTCACCCACTCACTCACTTACCCACTCACCCACCCACCCACTCACCCACTCACTCACTCACTCACCCACTCACTCACTCACTCAATCACTCACTCACTCACCCACTCACTCACTCACTCAACCACACAGAGTCACCCACACAGAGTCACCCACACAGAGTCACCCACTCACTCACTCACCCACTCACCCACTCACTCAGCCACTCACCCACTCACTCAGCCACTCACTCACTCACTCACCCACTCACCCACTCACTCACTCACCCACTCACTCACTCACTCAGCCACTCACCCACTCACTCACCCACTCACCCACTCACCCACTCACTCACTCAGCCACTCACTCACCCACTCACTCACTCACTCACCCACTCACTCACTCACCCACTCACCCACTCACCCACTCACTCACCCACTCACTCACCCACTCACTCACTCACTCACCCACTCACTCACTCACTCACCCACTCACTCACCCACTCACCCACTCACTCAGTCGCTCACTCAGTCGCTCACCCACTCACTCACTCACCCACTCACTCACCCACTCACCCACTCACTCACCCACTCACTCACCCACTCACCCACTCACCCACTCACCCACTCACTCACTCAGACACTCACTCACTCACTCACCCACTCACTCACCCACCCACTCACTCACTCACTCACCCACACACCCACCCACTCACTCACCCACCCACACACTCACTCACTCACTCACCCACCCACTCACTCACTCACCCACCCACTCACTCACTCACTCACCCACTCACTCACTCACTCACCCACTCACTCACTCACCCACTCACTCACTCACCCACTCACCCACTTACTCAGTCACACACTCACTCACTCACTCACCCACTCACCCACTCACTCACTCACTCACCCACTCACTCACCCACTCACTCACTCACTCACCCACTCACTCACCCACTCACCCACTCACTCACCCACTCACTCACCCACTCACTCAGCCACTCACTCACTCACCCACTCACTCACTCAGACACTCACTCACTCACTCACCCACTCACTCACCCACCCACTCACTCACTCACTCACCCACTCACCCACCCACTCACCCACCCACTCACTCACACACTCACCCACCCACTCACTCACCCACCCACTCACTCACTCACTCACCCACTCACTCACTCCCTCACCCACTCACTCACTCACCCACTCACTCACTCACACACCCACCCACTCACTCACTCACACACTCACTCACTCACTCACCCACTCACCCACTCACTCACTCACTCACCCACTCACTCACCCACTCACTCACTCACTCACTCACCCACTCACTCACTCACTCACCCACTCACTCACCCACTCACTCACTCACTCACCCACTCACCCACTCACTCACCCACCCACTCACCCACACAGAGTCACCCACTCACTCACTCACTCACCCACTCACTCACCCACTCACTCACTCACTCACCCACTCACCCACTCACTCACTCACTCAATCACTCACTCACTCACCCACTCACTCACTCACTCAACCACACAGAGTCACCCACACAGAGTCACCCACACAGAGTCACCCACTCACTCACTCACCCACTCACCCACTCACTCAGCCACTCACCCACTCACTCAGCCACTCACTCACTCACTCACCCACTCACCCACTCACTCACTCACCCACTCACTCACTCACTCAGCCACTCACCCACTCACTCACCCACTCACCCACTCACTCACTCACTCACCCACTCACCCACTCACTCACTCACCCACTCACTCACTCACTCAGCCACTCACCCACCCACTCACTCACTCACTCACCCACTCACCCACTCACTCACCCACTCACTCACTCACTCAGCCACTCACCCACTCACTCACTCACTCACCCACTCACTCACCCACTCACCCACTCACTCAGTCGCTCACTCAGTCGCTCACCCACTCACCCACCCACCCACTCACCCACCCACTCACTCACCCACCCACTCACCAACTCACTCACCCACTCACACATTCAATCACTCACCCACTCACTCACTCAGACACTCACCCACCCACCCACTCACTCACCCACCCACTCACTCACCCACTCACTCACCCACTCACTCACTCACCCACTCACCCACTCACTCACTCACCCACTCACTCACTCACTCAGCCACTCACCCACCCACTCACTCACTCACTCACCCACTCACTCACTCACTCACCCACTCACCCACTCACTCACACACTCACTCACTCAGCCACTCACCCACTCCCTCACTCACTCACCCA